TGACGGCTCATGTTGAGCTTCTCATTCACCAAACACTCCCTGTGTTCTGCCACCTAAGGCATCACCCCCCAGACAATCTGAACCAGTGTTGTGTTACACTCTCTATTTTCTACAGAGAAAAATAAGGGTAAGCAACCAATCTGTTTTGATGCCTAAAGTCAGGTAGACATTACGCATTTATCTACATTAGACATATAAAAGAACGGGTTTGATTTCATTCTAGAACCATATGTCCACAGTGTGTCTTCACTAGCAATGAAGTATGTGCCAGATGCCCATGCCAGTCATGAACTGCATGTGCAGAGAACCAACAGCTGGAAGACCTCCTGCCTACAAGAGGGACAAGATATCACTTTGGTGCACAGACTCAGCTTTGGTTCCACCAGAAGTGAACGTTGTCAGAGTGTACTACGTATATCTTTTGCTGTGCACTACATACTGCAAATACAGCAAAAATGCAATTTTGCAGCAATAAGCTTCTCTAGTATACTGACTTGACAGTGCAGACACAACTTACGGGGATAGCGCATCCTGGATGCAACTAGAAGAGCAGTATGCATGTTCATTTTAGAATCACAGAATGGTTTGGGTCGGAAGGCACCTTAAAGATTGTGTAGTTCCAACCTCCCTGCTGTGGCCAGGGACACCTTTCCAGTAGATAAGATTGCTCATTTTAGCTTTAGGCGGTACTGAGATTTCTAATTCTCAGTAGTTTTGAGACCACTTATTAAGTTACCTGGGCCAGGAGAGCTGGTGAGTCCAGGGCACAGTTGCACTGGCAAAACCCACAACTTTCAACTTACTATTTTACAGCCATTATCAAGTAACAGTATAAAAGCTGAAAGACAAATGTTTGCCCTTACTGTGGTTGATCCCATGTAGATCTGATGGGCAGGAATGTAATGTGTTTGGTCTCTTCCATATGACTTATCAATCCTCCTTTAGACTGAAATTTCTCCTGGCAGATGTAACAACGACAATGATGGATTTCTCTTCTGATGAAGTTCACTAGCTTTATTTGCTGATAAAAGTTCAGACCTGGGAGAGACAGTAGCAAACAAGCACTTGGGAAACAAGACTGCTTTCTTGGATTAAGAATAAAGATTGATAATGAGTTTACTGAAGACTAGCACTGCTTGAATGCTGTAACTTATCAAATTAACTGAACAAATGCTTTTTCCCCAGTTGCAGGGGAACTAGCCTTTCCTGTAATGTAAAAATTACAAACACTTTGTTTCCTCTAAGTCTACAGCAGGAAGCAAACCCTGGCCAAAGAAAGCTTAGAGCACAGCCTTCTCAAGTATTAACAGACATAATCATCATCATCTTCATCATTCTTCTAGGGCTCGAGCAGCCAGACCTGGGACTCACAGAGTTGGTATTTGTAGGAGCTACTCTGCAGAAGAATTCAAAGGTTCTGAAGAAAATAACACATATCCTTGGCACTAACAACAGTTCCAGAAAAATAAAGTATTCTTGGCTTTCTCTTGTAAGCTGGCAGAAACAATTTCCGCAATAGAAAAGTTAAATGTCCAAACAAAAATCAAATTGATACAGTTGTTTTCTACTATTCTTATGATGTGGTTTTCTCCACACCAGTGGCAAATGCTGACAATTGCAGCATCTCTTACTCACCATGCTCTGACTTTATTTTAGGAAAGTCAAATCCATGTGATTTCTGTGGGCAAATAAAAGGGGAAAGAATGAAATGTCTTATTTCCACTACTTCTACTATTTCAAGTTAAAAACAGCTCAGCCTTTCATAGACTGACACAGACATATCCATATAGACATGCAAACACTTAACACATGAAATGAACCCCCAAAAGTTTTGTTTCACCAGAAGCTTTCATATTCTGTTAAACTGCAATGATCCTGCTAAATAGTTTATTAAAACTGAAACATGGATGGCAACCATTAAGTGTGTTAATGAGTCATTATAATACTAAAGATGCTACCACCTTATTGTCTGTAAGCAGTCTGTAACTCACAGGCAATAGCTAGTCATATACTCAATGTAAAACTTGGTTATTCCATGTATTTTAGAGAACATGTACTGGAGATGCATGCAGTACTTTAGTTCTGTGCTAAGGAGGGCATTCTAATGCAGCAGCTAACTTGATCTTAACATAGATGCCACAATCTTAATTCCAAATTGATGAAAGAATTGTTATTTAAAACAAGTCTTACCTGCATGTGAAGATACAGTTTTTCTGTGGTGTCTGCTTGTTGTTCACAGAACAGGCAAACTGCACACACAGGATGCTCTTCCCAGTCAGACCAGTCTCTATGATCAAGAGCCAAAAAGATTAATTTAATTGTGAAAAAGAGAAGAGGCATTCTGTGAAAGGGCACTTCAGATTCTGCACTCACAGCACTAGAAATAAATCCAAAGAAACTGAATGCTTTAAAGAGGTGGAAGAGACAGTGTGGATTTATAGCTGGATACATGGTTAGAATCTGGTTTACAGTCAAAAAAACGCAAACCCACAAATTCAAGAATAACTGAGAAAGTACTGTTGGGTAATTCCTATGCAGGCAGGCTGTAAGTGTTACTTGGATTCTGTCTGCACTAACAAGCAGGATCTTAACTTCAGTTCCTATCCAGTTGGGCAAGTCATCAAATATCACATTCACTGTTTATTTTTATAAGGTCTTTTAAAATTCTTTTATACCTTTCTAGTCTTTCAGTACACCAGCCAAAGACATAATCACCAGGCAGAGTTCACTCTAAGTGTTATTTACTTAACAAATATTAGTATTCCTGAAAGAGACACTATTTTATGCTACATTTAGACACGCACACCGAGAATATTTAATCAACACATGTATTTAGAACTCTAGTAGTGCTGAGAGATAGAAATATTATTGTAACCAGGTATAATCAAATAAAATCATGCTCAAGTCACAGACAGAACCAGGAAGGTTAGGGGCCCCGATGCCCATAAATTACTTCCTGCTTATTCAGTTCTCTACGGCCAAGGAAGCCACCTCTGCAGTGATCTGAGGGCCTGGAGCACAGCAGAGTGCAGAGGAGAGGTGGTTGTTGCACTCAGTTGCACTGTTGATAAGCTTCCTTTGAAAATCTGTTATCAGACTTTTGCATACCACTTCTTTCTCATGCTGACATTCTTGCTGCTTACTCTTGATTTTGAAATTTGAGCAAAATCCATTCAACTGGTTTTTTAAAGTACAAAAGTAAAAACCCCTCCCATTTTGCCTACATCGTTACAAACCCCAAAGGCTGTTGTTTGAGCTATATGTAAATTAAAAATAGGTTTGCAGTTAAAATATGAAATTTACAGCCTTGTTATGAAGAAGCAACTTGGATAAGAAGAATTTAGAGTTGATTGGCTTAAATGATTTATAGCTGTGTACTAACTACGCACAGCATTTTCCCTGTAGATACTTTGATCAATAATGGTCTTGCAAGCCTTTATAATGGGGACATAGGTAAAACTTACTCTTCTAGGTTATCTAGCAATTCCCGGTCGTCCTCTGATTGCACTTCCTCCCAGGACTTCCCAAATTCCTGAGGAGAAAAAAGAAAAGAAAAAGAAAAAAAAATCCTGATTCACATCACATTTTATATATTAACTGAACGACCATTCAGGAGGTCACAATCAGCATCTTATTTTAGATCACTTTGGTATTTCTGTGGATTAAAGGTAGTCATACAACACTAATTTAGTAGGAATTTCTAAAATAACAATTTGTTTTGTCTTTTAAAGGGGCATTCCCCACCTTATGTCTAGGAAGATGATGATTTGGCACAAAGCTCTCAAGAAGAGGATCCAAACTCTATGAAACACTAGAGTATACCAAGATGTTCCCGAGGTGGGTACATTATCACTGTCTTGAGTTTGCCATCACACTCGCTCAATCCAATCTGCCTACTTTGCTCTTCAGGCAGCATATGCTGCTTCAACAATGCAGCTGTCACACCTGGGACTTCAGTTGGCAGAGCTACACCAGTCTGTGTTCGTACTGTGTACGAGGTTATGTCAGTAAAAACACAGGGCGTTAACCTAGCTAGAGAGTGCTCCAGAGAGGCAGAATGAGCCAGGGTATAGATCTCTGAGCTAGTTTCTTTGACATCACAGAGAGAATCACAGAGAGTTATCAGAGCTGGAAGGGAACTCTAGAGATCATCTAGTCCAACCCCCCACCAAAGCACGATTGCCTAGAGCACATCACACAGGGCTGTATTCAAGCGGGTTTTGGGTCTCCAAAGACGGAGCCTCCACAGCCTCTCTGGGCAGCCTGTTCCAGTGCTCTGTCGCCCTCGCAGTAAAACATTCTTCCTCTTATCAGACGGGAATGAAGGCACATCCACTCGTGGGGTTCTGATCTTCCTTTCACTTCCTGTGTTGTTTATTTATATCTTGAAGACCTTCAGCACAAAGTATATCACAATACATTTGTGCAGTGTTCAGCACAATGGCAAGCACTCTCAGTGTGACTGCGATATAAATAACAGGAAATAAAAAGCTGAAGCACTCTACTGAAATACCAGCAGTGATCTTTAGCTAGTGTTTTTATTTCCTACAAATCCTCCTGCCTTTAAAAATAAGCCAGAGCAAACCAAACAGAAATCAAAATAGTATTTTTGAACTCATACTTCTGATAGCTGTGAAAGATTCGCAAAAATCATAGTTAATGATCTTTTCTCCATTAGAAAAACGCAGCTAAAAAAACATCCATTCATTCAATTATTTCATTCAAATATTCCCTGTGATATATATATTTAATAACATCCTTAGTGACAAGTGTTACTATTGCCATTATGGTTGTCTGGGAGAAGAAGGGAAAGATATCCATCATTTAACAATTTAATGAGAGTTTTCAAACCGTTAGTGTCTATCAGGTAAATGATAAACAAATGTCTCTAGACAGCTCTAAACATAATGTCATCATATATTATAGAATGAAAATTCAGTAATTAATTCAGTGATGCTATGTGTTAGTGTGTAAACTCTCTGAGTTACAGGAGAGACCCATTACTGAGAGATAACATGAAGCCATTAACACCTCTTGCCACATGTTCTCCCAGCTGCAACTAGTTTCCTGTGGCTGCCCATGGTAACACCTTAACGAGAGGATAGCAGCTCACAACCACTGCAAAATTAAGACAAATGCTCACAATTTTTCCCAGTACCAGCTTGAAGTATAAATGCACAAAAAAAAAGTATGTTTCAGAACAGCAACGGACATTAAGCTTCAGCTTTTAGTTAAAGGCAAAAGGGGAAAACCAGGCACAAGCTTTGTTATTGTTGCTGTAACTCTATGGTGTTTCTGTGAAGAAGACAGAGAAGGATCATGTAAGAAGTCTGTTTCCCTCATCTACGTCTATTCAGAGAAGAAAAAAAAAAAGAAAAAGCTAACCAGGTCCTAGATCAGTGGAACATTGCATGGTGAACAGTTAACTAGGGATGCTGTGACGTAAGTGCCAAGAGATTGAAGTTGAGCGATTGGGTAGGAAAGAGTTCTTCGAAACATTCTTACAGCTCTACAGGTTTTTAATTTTTCTTTCTGTAAAAACACTTTTTCAGTTCTACACTTTGACAGGCCCCTGGGACCAGTGGTGCCTTTGTTAAGACACTTTCCTTTTATCCAAAATGCAAGAGCTCCCAGCAATCATCTCTAGAGATACTCAAGAAATTCTTAACAAAACTAGACAAAAAATTAGACTTGACATTGTTAATAGTTCAAACAGTAGAAAATGCATAATTAAAACAAAACGGCAGGCTTTGCTATATATCCAAGGAAAACCAATCTCAAAAAAAAATACTTCCCGTGTACATCGCAGAGAGGAGGTTCCTAAAGAAAAGTGAGAAGGTGCAAATGTGTGTGCTTTGATTTCCTCTCCCCAAATGAAGTCTAAATACACAGAGATGAACCGACTTACAGACAATTTATCTTATCAACTTGGGCAGTTTTAAGGGTTCTGCAGGGAGAAGGTCTGCACGCTTCAGAGAGGCAACATACCCCAACTTGAGAAGTGCTGAAATGGGAGAAACTAGAAACAGCAGCTGGTATCTTGAGCAGTGTTCCCAAAAGAGCAGTTACTGAACGACATGCAAATGTAGCTCCAGGCCTGTGGGGCTCAGAAACTCCAAACAGATGCTGCTTCCTCTTGCAAATTTCCTCTCATCCTTCTTCTCACCTGCTTTACTGCAATCATCTGAATTGTTTTATATTGCTGCAGAACTTAAGGTGTTTTATCTCACAGAAGAGATGATCTTATCCCAACATTAGTTAATAGGCACTGGATGAATTTTAATCCCACTTGCGGGATTTTATTATTTTGTGAATTATCTCCAACTGCTGCAGAGGTTTCCTTTACCATCTTACAAAATACATACTGCATAAGTCAAAATAAGGTAAACAAAAATAGTAACCCTGATAACAAAACATTCTTCCCCAGCACCCAACAGATAATAATGATGTTTTAGGGCTTGGCAACAAGGAGAAAGACGGTTTTTTTCCTTTGAGGAAAGTAAGCGCTTTATGAAACAAGTTTTCTAGTAAGTAACAGGTACCATTTTCAGATGTCCAGCTTAGTCATCAGTGCATTCATTACAGTGATGTTACATTACAAAAGATATATGCCACTAGTCAATTTGAAAACCAACACCTTTCTTTCCTACAAAGGATACTGTATACTTAAAGAGCTGCTAGCAACAATCAGATAAACACAAAAGGGAAGGTCCTGTCAGCCTGGGTCTGCCTCAGTTCCTTGGGCTAGGAATACGAGAGTTTTAATGTTGCCTTCTGTTGTTTTATGGCCTCCAGCAGGCCTCACAGACTACAGAGTTCTTCCCTCTCCACTTTTACTTGGCTCTTTGCACAAGGTGAGTCATGGGGGCACAGGCCAACACAAGCAGAGACACAAGAAAACTAGGTTTGAAGGCTTTTTGGAGAAAAGAAAAATAAAGTAACCTACATATACATCTTGGACACATTGTTGCTCAGTTCTTCAGCCTCTACCGTCAGTTTGTCTTTTTCAATTTATACTTCAAGCCTTTCTGAATAGGATTGGCATCATCTTCCATACTTACACAATACTGACAAAAGACCTCTAAATCCACCGGGGAAGTGACCCTGGCTGCCTTTCAAGTCATCTGCACTACTGCAAAACTCCCTGCCTATTTTAATGTAACTATCTAATAATAAGCTTTTGATACTTGCTTATGAAAGAATTCTATTATAAATGCACATAACAAAAAAAAAGCTTCCACTCCTACTGAAGATCACTTGTAATATTCTTACCTAAACGTTAACTTGTGAGCAACAGAACATGTCGATAATACGGGGACAAGCAAATCAAGGTGGCTTGTAGATCATGACAGAAATCATAGAAAGTTTCAGAACAACAAAGTATTTGCAAAGGAATTTGCACTTATATTACTCACTGCTATGCCAAATGGGAAACTTAAGAGAGGGAATTACCAACACACAAATATAAAAGGTAACTTATGCTATAAAAACAGATTCTCAAAACTCTACTAAAAACACAAGTTAAGCCAAAAGTAGAATGGAGGGAAAGGAAGGCAGGTGAGCTTACTGCTCTAAATGAAATCTATAGGACCTTTGCCATCAGCTTAAAAACACAAATAACAACTGGCCAGAAGATCACGAGACAATGCAGCAGACATTCTCAGGACATTCAAACAAAATGCCCTTAAAACCTCTCAGTACAAAAGCCACAAAATAAACTGCCAGCTTCAGATTAATAAGACTGTTTTACAGAGTGCTTGGTGAAGATAATATGTAATGGAAAATTATTTAAAAAGGACAAGAATGTCTGTACTAAAGAGCTATTGATTTAAATAGCTTAAGATCTGGTTTCTGATAGAAAAGCTCTACGATGCACATCCTAAAAGTAAGTGGGTAAGACTGTAATAACATTGATGTTTATCATTAGAGATCTACTTAGTTTCACAGTCTCTTTATGATGAAAACAAACTTGACCACACTCGCATACAGAAAGATCTCTGTTATATTCTCAAAATTCAAACTTCTATGTGAAAACTTATAAAAAAGTAGATCTTTAGCTCAAAATGAATTCAGTAATTCAGGTAAACTTTGAAACAGTACATCTGTCATTTCAGATAAGATATCTAACCCATATCTCTGAAACTGTATAATTTCCCTGGACATTTAGAGCAATGTGATCTTTAAGACTCTCTGAAAAGCTGGTCAAGTTTGATAGCACACATTAAAAAAAATATCTTGTAGTAAATTTATAATTGTGAGGTGCTGAGGGAGAAGAAGCAAAATTACTACATCAGGTCATTACAGAAAGCAGATCTTGTGTACCATCTAGAATTAACTGAATATAGACTCAGCTTGGGAAAAAAGCATCCTATCACATTAGTATAATCTACTGTAGACTACATATGTGTAGTACAGAATAATGTTATTTCTCCTTACATGTAAAGGCCAATCTACTGAACTCCCAGTGGACAAATTAAAGTTTTTCCCTTTGATCTTTTTCTCCTGTGCAAAAAAAATAAGGTTTTACCAAATGCTATTTTGAAAGCAGAAACTTTCTACTGTGTAAGAACTATCCTAAAAATTTCACATTACTGAAAAATTTAATCTCATGCAAAATTTGTGTGAAAATACACATTTTACAGTGAAGTATTTTGTAGGTGTCTAAGAGTGTTTAGTATGTTTTTAATCCTTTATTAGAAGAAAAATCCTTTCTTTAGAAGAAATGTCAGAAGTTCTGATATGGCTACAGTCTGCAGAAAGACTGAGCAGAAACAGACCTTTGAGCAGAACGTGGTGAAAGACAATTGAAAACTTGTGGAAAGAAAACATGGCTGTAGCAGAGCATAAACAGCCAGTCATGGAACTGTGATCAAAGTATGTCCCAGAAGAAGCACTGGCAGCGCACCGGTACGAACCTTGCCAACTCCCTGCTCAACTTTAAACTTTTTGGTGGTTTGACACATTTCATCTGAATTACATTTTCCATCCTCTGTAATAGCAAGGATCTGAAAAATACATCTCAAAGTGACGCTGCTAAGTGATCAATACCTGAATTGGTTCAGGCTGGCATAGTAACAGCAGTAACTAAAGGGCACCATGGCCGTGCCTTGAAAACTGTCCTGTGACTGCTGCTGAACAGGTTGCACGCTCCCTGGTCGTGCCAGCAGCACCACCCAGACCATGCTTGGACATGGTTCAGGAAACGTAGAAGCCACAGATCGTTCTCAGCAGACAGAACAGACAAGGCCACCAGTCCTGGAGCAACTGGATAGAGTGGGAAACGAGATTAGTTCTACGAATATTAGTCTTGCTGCTGTATTTACTTTGGCATATTCTGCTTATTAACATGACACGGCCACTGCATCGACAGTGCTATGGCCTCCCTGCATGTCTGTAAAATTTCTGAAGGAGTATCACACAGTTCTTTGAGCTTCTGGGCAGTCATCTTCCTCAATTTCCTCATAAAAGCTGTGACAGACTTGAATCTGAACACAAATACAAATTAGAGATAGCGGGTAATTTAAAGAGGATGCCAAGTTCTGCAAACATCAGATTACCTGCACGACTAGCAGAGAAGAATGAAACTACTATAATAACTTAAAACAATTACAACATTAAATTCAAATCTGTTGACTTGCAAGGATGAAGGGAACACTCAGTTCTGTTGAGAAGCTGAGAACATCTTCTTTGCCTCAGTCTTTAGTAACAGAAACACTTTTACTGAGGAAAGCCAGCTCCCCGAGCAAAGAGACAGGGGCCAGGAGCAAAATGTCCACCCCACAATCCAGGAGGAGATGGCCAGTGACCTGCTGCTCCACGTCAATATGCACAAATCTATGGGGCTGGGTGGGATTCATCCTAGAGTGCTGAAAGAACTGTCAGGGGTGCTCACCAAGCCGCTATCCATCATTTATCAGCAGTCCTGGCAGACTGGGAATGTCCCAGCTGATTGGAAGTCAGCCAATGTAACACCCATCTATAAGAAGGGACGGATGGATGAACCAGGAAATTACAGGCCTGTTAGTTTGACTTCAGTGCCAGGGAAGCTGATGGAGCAGGTCATCCTGAGCTCCATTATGCAGCACATGCAGCACAACCAGGTGATTAGGCCCAGTCAGCATGGGTTTATAAAGGGCAGGTCCTGTTTAACAAACCTGATCCCCTTCTATGACAGGGTAACCCACTTGCTGGATGAAGGAAAGGATGTGGATGTTGTCTACCTCGACTTTAGTAAGGCATTTGACACTGTTGCCCACAGCATTCTCCTAGAGAAACTGACTGCTCTTGGCTTGGATGGATATATGCTTTGCTGTGTGAAAAACTGGTTGGATTGCCGAGTCCAAAGAGTTGTGGTCAATGGAGTTAAATCCAGCTGGTGGCTGGTCACGAGTGGTGTCCCCCAGGGCTCAGTACTGGGGCTGCTCCTGTTTTAACATTTTCATCAATGATTTGGAAGAAGGGATGGAGTGCACCCTTAGTAAGTTTGCAGATGACACCAAGCTGGGTGGAAGTGTCGATCTGCTTGAGGGTAAGGAGGCTCTTCAGAGGGATCTGGATGGGCTGAATTGCTGGGCCAAGGCCAATCACATGAGTTTCAATAAGGCCAAATGTTGAGTCCTGCACTTCGGCAACAACAACCCCCAGCAGCACTACAGGCTTGGGGAGGAGTGGCTGGAGAGCTGCCAGGCAGAGAAGGACCTGGGGGTGTTGATGGACAGCCGGCTGAACATGAGCCAGCAGTGTGCCCAGGTGGCCAAGAAGGCCAATGGCATCCTGGCCTGGATCAGGAATGGTGGTGTCAGCAGGAGCACAGAGGTGATCATTCCCCTGTACTCGGCCTCACCTGGAGTACTGCGCCCAGTTTTGGGTCCCTCACTACAAGAGGGACATTCAGGTGCTGAAGAGGGTACAGAGGTAGGCTACTAAGCTGGTAAAGGATTTGGAGTATGTGTCCTACCAGGAAAGGCTGAGGGATCTGGGGCTGTTTAGCCTGGAGAAGAGGAGACTGAGCAGAGGTGATCATTCCCCTGTACTCGGCCTCACCTGGAGTACTGCGCCCAGTTTTGGGTCCCTCACTACAAGAGGGACATTCAGGTGCTGAAGAGGGTACAGAGGTAGGCTACTAAGCTGGTAAAGGATTTGGAGTATGTGTCCTACCAGGAAAGGCTGAGGGATCTGGGGCTGTTTAGCCTGGAGAAGAGGAGACTGAGGAGACACCTCATCACTCTTTACAACTAAATGAAAGGAGGTTATAACAAGGTGGAGGTTGGTCTCTTCTCCCTAGTGGTGAGTGACAGGACAAGGGTAAATGGCCTTAAGTTGCACCAGGGGAGGTTCAGGTTGGATATGAGGAAGAACTTCTTTACTGAGAGGGTTGTCAGGCATTGGAACAGCCTGCCCAGGGAGGTAGTTGTGTTGCCATCCCTGAAGGTGTTTAAGAGAAGGGTAGATGTTGTGCTGAGGGACACTGTTTAGCGGAGTTGATAGGGTTAGGACAAAGGTTGGACTTGATGATCTTGAAGGTCTCTTCCAGCCAAAACTGTTCTATGTTCTATGATCTACCCTGCAGAACTTCACAAGTTGTTCCTCACTGTGCAACAAGTATAGCTCAGCTTTTAAAGTACTGATTTTTAAATATCTAGAAAGGAAAATATAGAACTCAGATCACTGATCTTTGGAAGGAAAGTATACAGGATCACAGAGGGAATTCATTCCATTGCAGGTAGAAGGGGCTTGGCAGAGGATGAAACATACAACTTTTTGTTCTTCATACTAGAGAAAAACCCAGGGAGAAAAATTAAAGGGAAGAGTAGGTAAAACAGTCAAGGATGCCTATTTATACTCTGGATACTAACACATGCAGATGGCACAAAGACTAGGTCAGGTGACATAGAATTATTTCTGGGACAGAATGTAGCAGCTTTTGAAGTAGCTTCTATGTTCAAGAGTTGAAGACAGCAAGTGAAAATCTTTAACATACACATGCATGCACACTCTCAAAGGTCTAAGATAAAAAATATTAATAACTACCAACACACACCTACCTGGAGGCTAAAATGAACACTTACTTTTTCTTTCATCTACGTATCTTTCATTTTCCTCCGCTTTGCATTTGATTTATACTCTGAAGAGTACTTCCATTTGAAGGTTTGTAGAAAATAAGCTCAAAGCCAATAGAATCCAAGTTAGGCCTTCATTTACTTCATTACTCTTATCTCGTTTTCCCTTCTGGTTATTAAAGCTGAGACTGAGCACTAATGACATGATGATTAGGGTCTCTTCAAGCTGCATTCTTGCATCTCTCAAAATTAATTCTCAACAACAAATGTTTACTATTCCTTAGCTTAACAATTATCCAGAATATCATACCATAAATGAGCATCTTTCTTAAGAGTCCTTCACTTGATTTTTGACCTTTGTACTAATGGCTGGTTTGTAATGACTCACTTTTAACAAGATATTGTCTGTATTGTTTTAGTCAATTTACTAATTATTCACAGAACCACTTACCAAGTAATTAATGACATAAAATTTGTCATATTCTTTGTTTTTGGCATTGATTCTGCGATGCTGCTTCTTTCTCATGTGATCTTTAAGCGTGTTTTTGTCTCTGAAGACTTTTTCACAGTATAAACACTGCAAACTAACATAAAAAGGTAAACAGGTCAGCATATTAAAATGAAAATAGTTACAAGATAGTATCCTTAAATAAGCTGGAGATACATATAGTAAGATCAGTGCTAAGTACGTGAGAGCAAGCTAAATGAAAAAGAAAGCTTACTGGAAAAAAAAAAAGTACAAGATTATCTTAGATCACAGTAGAATCAGTAAAACACAGAGATGATAAAAATGACCTAAAATGAAAATATACATAATAAAAAAATTACTATTTGCCCCACAATCAATATGGGAGAAAAAGTCTGATTATTCAAAGTTGTCCTATCAGGGCACAGGAGGGCTGCTGATTGGTCAGCATGTCAACTCTTAACTCAGCATGCACTTATACTGGCATCTAATCCATCAGTAACTGTTTCCTTGCAATTTAGTGTGAAAAAGCCTCAACTCTGAATGTGCTACATATGTTTAAAAAACATTTAAATTAGCTAACCAGAAAGTTTTATACCTCTGACTCAACAGGGAGGCTAAATGAAAGTTTGCCAGGATGATCAATGGGTTTTGAAATCCTGAGAAATAAAATTTAGCAAACAAATTGATATTTAATAATTCACGTCTATGTATGTCATGTCTCTGCATGCACATTTATACACAGACATGAATTATTATATATATACACGTTACTTGAGAAGGTGAAATCATTCATCAACTACTGAGAATTTTACCACTGTAGGTCTCCTAGAGCAATTAAAACAAAACAGAAGTATATGCACTGTCTGAAATTCTCTATTATAAATACTACAAAATAATTGCTCTCGCCGCTGTAGTGTCAACTGACACTTGAAAGTTGAGCCTGTAGAGCATTTAGTTGAGTCTCTTGACTCAGATAGTGGCCTATGAGGAGAGTAATCTGCATTTCAGCCTAAATGGACGATTCTCCCTGAAATAGATGATGGTCATTTTTTTCTAGTGGAGATGAAGCAGAGCCCTGAGCTTACAGGAACATCCTTGCTTAATGGATGCAGGTCTCAAGTTTCTAGCTAGCCAAGGTGCTAAAACATTTTTCTTAGAAGTTATGGCTTACATAGCTTGGACTGTTTCAAAAATTATTTCTGCAGGGCGTTGGGGAAAAATCCCTAGAAAACAATTTCTCATGAAATAAAAAGTTTGTCACTTTGGCATGATATCTTTTTATTGGAGATGCTGGCTAACAGGAAAAACAATTTTGTAGGAGGGATAAATGACAGCACTCTAAGACACAAAACGCACAGGTATTAAAAAAATGTGGTGGCTCTGAAATAAAATGATAAAATGATCACCTATTTTTTTCCCCCCTTTACTCACAGATGAAAGCACACTTGATTATATAATAAGAAGGAATTTTAACAGTGTCTGGGTCAGGCCTTTCTGTAATTTCTCCAGGGTTTAAGATATAGATGTTGATGAAGAAAATGATTTTCTTACTCAAGCGTTTGCCTCCACAAAAACCATTCATATTGTGCCTAGAAGGGCTGCACCTACACGCTGAAAAATATCATACTCCTTCAGCAAAGGTGCATCTAGATTCACCTCAGCTCTCATGTGTGGAGCAGCAATTCAAGATTCTCAGTATCGTTTTGCCTTCCAAGAATGGCTGTAACATTTAGGCTGAGCAAGTTTTGAATTCTCCTTGTGCTTGTGGTCTCAAAATCTAAATATTGTCTTGTTGATGAATCATGGGTATGACAGCAGAATATGTCTATGAATTTTAGTATCTGCTTTGCTCCACCTGTTAACTGCAAAGTGTTTGCTTTACTTGTGAGAGTCATTCCCAGGAAGAGTATGGAATGCTTTTCCTCAGCGTACACAATGTAATCATGTGATTTGCCTGAAAAAAATCATGCTATTTGCCTGAAACATGCTATTTGCCTGGACTAAAGCTAGAGATGGATCGGTTCTGATTGGATGTTAGGAAGAAGTTCTTCACCACGAGGGTGCTGAGACACTGGAACAGGTTGCTCAGAGAGGTGGTGGAAGCCCCATCCCTGGAAGTTTTTAAGGCCAGGCTGGATGGGGCTCTGAGCAGCCTGATCTAGTGGGGGATGTCCCTGCCCATGGCAGGGGGGTTGGGACTAGATGACCTTTAAGGTCCCTTCCAACCCTGAAAATTCTATGATTCTATGAAACAAGATTTTTCTCCTCTTAATAATATTTTTGGGTACTATTCTACTGGCATGGCTATTAAATCTTTTCTTAACAGTAGGAAGAGTGGCCTTTCATTGCTCTGGAAGCAATTTCAGCATGTGTATTAACTACAGAGAGCATTGGCTTTGAGAAACCTCCATCCAAATGAAACTTGTGTGTCCTACTGATAAATATTAAAGCTTCAATTTATGAGTGAGCCAGGTAACTCTGCATCAGGCAATACCTACGATAGCATAAAAGGCATTCTGAATATATTATTTCTGGAAGATGGTAACCTGTATCTATTGTGACTGCACATTCTTTGTCAGGCCAAAGACTAAATTAGAGAGCACTGTTGGCCTTCCCATCCTTTCAACCTCTTCCCCTTCCACCCTTGCCAGATATACAAATCTATGGATCCTAAACTTACTTGGAAGGACATTGAATCTAATTTCCATATCCCAGTTTCCACAAATCTCAGTGTTCTGTGGCTTTTCATAACTAAGCTTAAGATTTAGGCAAAATTCCGCTACAGTCTTCGATTACAGATTGTATTAAAATATAATAAAGTTGTTAGAGCTACAGTTTCACTCTTAAGCAAGTACATTTTCTGCTAGAGCTCAATTTACATTTGTGGCATACATCATATCGTCCCATTTATGAAATCCATAAAGGGTCATTAAGGAACTTGCAAAGGAAACTCAAAGTGAAGAGTTTCTTGCTCTTTGCTACGGGAGTTCTTCTCCCAAATTCCATTTTTAACTTCTTCAGATATCTCAGGTTTACATGTTTCTGAGGCATCATATACGCTGGCTTTCCCTTTCTATTCTGGCATGTATTCTGTAAGCAGCAGAGAAGAGACCAAATATCCCACATTGTCGATATACAGAGAGGCGAACAAAGACTGGCATAAGAATGCTGCATTCAGTGACTAAAGAGGTGTTTAGCAAAAAGATTTTTATTATGAGAAAGAAGAACGTTAATATTTATGAAAAAAGGGAAGTGCTATTATTGATGTCAATAGAAACTGCAATGCAAAACAACTGAAGTGCTGCTCGTGACTCCCATTTTTCCAGCAAACAGATCCTATGAACTGTTACGAAATAGCTCTCAGTAAGTCATCAAAAAGCCTTCTAAGAGCACTCACAATAAACTAACATTCTCTTTGTTTCTTCTTAACTAACCATGAATGGTGAATTATTTTTAACTCAACGTATTTCCAACGTTAAAGGAAATATGATCTCAGTCCATTCAAAAACGAAACCAACCAAAAAAACTACTTACTTGTTGAGCTTCTCCTGTAATACAGCCAAAAACTCGTAGCAATTCACAATGTTATCTGGCAGCCCAATGTTAAAAGCATGCTCTCTTGCCATGTGATTGAGCAGGACAGATCTACAAAAGACATGTTACATATTTTTTGATACATATGAGAATTATTCAGTTAGTGACTTGAAACATAGCAATTGCTCTAAAAATGCATAACACTCAACATTAAATAGAAAAATAATAGCATTGCTGCCACTGCTAGAAAAATGAATGCAGCTTCACTGAAATAGGAAATTTTCAACTTAAGCTTTGCTGAACATGTAGTAACATTTCAACTGTTTAATCCACATGCATGAGATATACTTCTTTAAATGAAAATTACAATATACCTTATTTTGACCATCGCTGTTAGCAAAGCTCATTTATTAATTTGAATAATCACATGTTTCAAATATACTATCTTGAGAAATATGCTAAAAAGCCATTTGTCAGTTTTCTCTATGCTGGTTAGCAGAGCAGAAATTCTTGGATGTGATATGCTTTTACAATAATATTGCTTGATACAACACTAGTAACACAAACAGCACTTAAAAGTACGCACGACAAACATAATGGATGTTTAAATAAGATATTTTTCTCATAGAGATATACCATTTAATTCCTTAGGTGCCCAACATGCCTCACCTTCTGCTTTTAGGACTAAAGAAATAGCCTAGTGTTGACACTGCTAAACTTTGCTTTTACCACAGTCCAGGCATGATTTTCAAACCACGTATTTCACCTGTCAAACCCAAGAGTATGCTCTTGGGGCTGAATGACGTGAACTTCACTACACCAGGCAGTAAGGAGACAGGACAGTCACACAACATCGGGACGAACTTCAGGGACATGACCCTGGGTTCTTCTACCTTCCCAGAGTAGCAGAACTACCCACGCAAACAGACACTCAGAGATAAGACTCAGTCTCTCCAGCTGAAACTGATTTCCTGGCTACAAACAAAGTTTCTTTGGAGCAAGCACTTGAATACAATTCCTGCTTGCACTTGACTGATGCTGTAAAGCACTCCAATCTCACTCTAATTTTCCTTTCCTCTTTTTCATTTGATCTTCAAGTACACACTGGTTTGGTAATCTTTAAGTAAGAAAATGTGTAACTGGATAGAAATATTTTTTTAACTGCCATACTGGCTTAAACAGCTCTCCTTACCACTAAAAAACTGCTGAGAAACTGTGTCTCTTTAAAATGGTTCAGTTCCCAACTCCAGCTTACTGTGTAGCATAGAAAGCTCTGCTGGAATAAATGAAGGACTGAGAGTTAGGGCAGAGTCTAAAACAGTTAAACATGACGGGGTCTAAAGAAATACTTAAACTATACCTTAAAATTAATTATATCTTCTGAGTCCTACCATTAGGCACTAACTAGGTCCATGATATTAAAACCAAAAACAAAGATGCTGAGCAGATATGAAGAAATAAACCAAAGGCAAATAGGTCAATAAACCAACCTGTTTCCTGTGAATTCCTGATCACAGAACATACACGTACTATGAAAATTTGTGTCGTATCTCTCTTGCTGTTGCTGTTCTAGAATTTCTCTCTGTGGAAAGAAACAGATACAGTTATTCAGATAAAAAATAAGAATCATTCTCTCACATAAGATTATTATACCTCTTTATCCTTATTGGTTAACAATGAACATATAAAATTAAAACATGCTACTGACACAAACCAGATGTTAGTATTTTTGAGGGTGAGTTCTCACAAAAACTTCAAGTTTTTGTAAAGACAATCTGTGCTCCAGTCAAGTTCCAGAAAAATTCTCTTGATATTATACAAGGTACATGGAAAGAAACACAATCCACAGTGAGATTTTGCGCAGTTATTTAAATGATTCTGTATACAACATATCAGTTCATTGTTTCTACTTATTATTCATATTTACCTCTGGTATCAGTGAGCAAGTTTATGAGTAATCACATAATACCCAGTGGAATGATAAACTCAATTTTACATGGCTAATTGCAGGCAATCTAGAGGACTATTTCATAATACAAGACCGATGATAAGAGCCCCGGCAGTTTCTGCAAGGAGCTCTGATACATGCTAAACTGAGGAAAAAAGAGAAGTTGATCACTTAGGACAGACACTTTACAAGAGTTGACACTATTTTCCTAACAGCAACAAAACCATGCAGCAGGTAATTTTCCCTGGTGCTATATTGATGGAGAGGCCATAATTATCTGGGACTTGACAGAACTGGTGTTTGGATTAAAACTTTAAATATCTTCACTCCAGCAGTACACTATCCTGTACTTGTGTTTTAAGCAATCATAAGTGGTAAAGGATTTATTTTCCATGCAAAGTAGAGGTGGTACTGTCTGCTTTCTGACATTCAGGATCCTGACTGAATTTCTTAGGGGATTTTCTCAATCTCTTTATCTCCTTATAGCTTGCAACAGTGGAGCTTTGTGTTTCTCACCTACCTCTTTAGCAGCTCTTTTGTGTGGATTAAGGCCCAAATTTTGCCATAGTCTACATCTAAATTCACACTCAGCTACGCCTGAGTTGGATAAGCTCCACAGAGAGCAGAAAAGAAAGAAAAAAGAAAGAAAAAAAAGAGAAAGAAAAAGTTAAAGGAAAGAAAAAAAAGCTGCAGACCAAAAAAGAAACAAGAGGAAAGCCTGAGCTATGGGCATTACATGCCCAAATGTTGGGCAGTTGGTGTGGGTCTGCCACAGGATGGGCTGGTGTGGGTCTGTCACATCACATTCCCTTCCTCATTGAGAGATGGCAGGAGGCTGATACTGGGCCAGGAAATGTGCTGTTGGATTTTCTTCAGCGTGTTGTATCCAGCGAGTAGCGGAGAGATGAACAGGGTGCCTGCTGGAGAGCGCAGGCTGTGCCACACTCGGGTTCTGCTTGGCCTAGGGCCAGCAGCAGCTGCATGGGACGAGCGCACTGTGCCATGGCCTGTTCTACGGCCCATACCCAACCACACAATTTGGGAGCTGTACCTGTTTGCCCATCAGCTACGAGTCTGTTGCCCTAAGAATGCAGATCCTGGGGTTTTTTTGTTTACTTTTGTACTACGAGGTGCACATTTTCTGTTGGAGTCATGCTTAGCATCCAGGCCAAATCTGGTCACGTCCTGCTGCCTTATGCAAAACGTCAACTAACAGAAATATAAATTCCCGTTTTTCAGGACTGTCTCCTGAACGAGGTAAATGGAGCATAACACATCTTGTGAGAGCCTTTCAGCAGAGATGCAATTAAGAATGGGTATCCGTCTGCCCCCCATGGGCTGTGAACATCCCGCAGCACCTCAGTGGGAAGCCCCGGTGCTCGTAAGCCGGCACCTCTCTCCAGCACTCAGCAGCACGCCTGACACGATTTTGGCTAACCTTGAATTCGAAGGTGTCTGCGTGTAGTTTAGATACTTTTAAAAACATGCTAGAAACAATTTGAAAGAAAATCAAAAGGTATCATGCATGATTCAAACATTAAGACAGCAAGGGTTTAAACACCCCCACCGTCCCATTAACGTTATTCTAATGTAGCTTCCTAATCATATTCTACTAGGAGGGGGAAAAAAAGGTTCTGTGATATTTGTCTGCTTAACTCCTCATTCCTATTTCATACATCCTGGTGTGCTGCTACTCCCAGTTATGCCTGAGGGGGAAGGAGAATCGTGCTGTTCCCTCCACACAGATGATGCTCCTGCTGCTCTGCTCTCTCCTCCTCCTTGTTTGCCCCTGCACCAGCACACTTGGCAGCTGGGAAGCTTTGACTAACCCAGCATCATTGTTTTATCCATTTACTCAACAGAGATTGGTAATGAAAGTCAAGCTTAAATTGAAGTTATGAGGCAGAAACTGAGTAATTTAATACCTGCACCAGCTTCCAACCTGTTGGAATTGCTGGGGCTTTGAGCATTAATTCACGGTTAATGCTAGGAAAAAAACCCATAAAAACATTTAATGAATATCTTTCGATACTTTTTTAGAATACTCTGTCATATCAAAGTGTCAGAGAATGAGAGCAAAGACACGAGGAAAAAGGTAATAGATCACAAAATACATATAAATTACTTTTTTTTCCCATGGTGAATAAAAGAACTGACCACATGCAGAAAAGGTAATCCAAACCACTGCAAAAGTAAATTAATCAAATACCATAGGTTAATATCAGGAAAATAGCTTACAATATTGATACAGTTTGTTGAATAATTCCCCACTGCCATCTCTTTTTATCTTTTGTGAGATGTTCTGACAGCTATTTGTTCTCAACTTTCTGCCATATTCTATGATTCGCTACATGGTTCTTCCAAAATCCATTACTTTGTTGAAGACTGTCAAACTAGTTGTGAAACAACCATAGAGAGAACAGATATTCCCAGTAATAAAAAGTAGAACTTAACAGAGGCTTTTAGTCTAAACTTTGTCCCCACAAGCCACAGGAAGCTTATGAGATCAACCAGGCTTTCTCAAAAATAAGTACTGCTAGATTACAAGATCTTGGAAGCACATTTTTAGCCAGAGCCTAGCTCAAATAAGCAGTTAGCAGCCTCCTGTGGAATAGCTTTAGGAAAATTCTATAGCATATAAGTGGTCGATCATGTTCAAACACATCAAATGGAAGCTGGATATCACTGATCTTACTTATATGCAGCGAAAAAGTAGCTGGTTTGCAGGAATACTTAATGTATTTGACAAAATAAAATTCAGTTTTAATCCAGTTCCATTCTTCTGTCTGGAAAAAAACCCTCTTCTACAGCTCTTAGTCACACATTTCCCACTATATGGGTGATCTACCATAAAAAGATCCAACTGAATTAAAAAATACTACCTATTCTGTGTTTTAACTAACAAAACAAACAAAAAAATATGGTAAGGATGTGCAAGTGCTCATACCAGGTTGATCACCTTTAAATATACCAGCACACTAAACTGCTAATAGAAAGGAAATTTCATCATTTGCATGACAATTTGTAACTTGAAGTCTTGAAAAATGCCCTGAACATTTACAACAGTTTGAGGTTGTGAGGAGTTCAGACTTACATCTAGGAAGTGGTAATCTAAAATGTGCCTGAAAAAAAAAAAGCCTGTCCATCTCCTGGGAAGCAATATTTTGGATCCAGAAGTGCTTAAGTACTATGCACCAGCAAGAATTCACACTGATAATCAGTAAAAGATGAAAAATGAATACTTGGAGCTAGTAAGCACTTTTCCCTAAACAATTACTTCATCTTTGGTCTACAGTTAGGAGACATTCAAGACATAAAATGCCTTCAAAAGGTAAGGTTAAGTTATTTTATAGCACATTAGACTTTTCTGACACCATGATTCCTTCCACCATTCCCTCCAGCCAACACTGTATCCCAGGTGCTAAATTGTCTGTCTTTATTGCTGTCAGACCACTGGGTATTTCTTACAGTCACAAACACCTTTACTAACAAGGCCCTCATAAATAATTTATGTAGCTATTTAAATGCATGGCTTGGATCACTGACATAGAACAGCCATTCACAACCAGTACCCAGCACAAGTTTTGCTGCTTTTGATTCCAACCTGAAGAAAGAATTGGTGGTCAAAATTTTGCCTGTTTTTTTCCAACTACATCGGTTGGTCCATCAAAAACATATTGCTTCTTTCTCTAAACCCTGTCTCTTTAAAATCATGGCACTTCTTATACATATCAAATTAAGGCAGAAAGTATTTCTTTAGTTTCAGGACAGAGGCAGATTACACTGCAGTTTGGGACAAGATCGTGAAGTGACTTTGAATGCAGTGAGACCTGAATTTATCACTCCTCAGTCCAGGAACCCATTTGGGCATTGGAGGACTGGATTCTGCAGTTCAGTCTGTAAAATTGAGCTAACAGTATGTGGCAGGTGTTTCTTCCCCCTAGGTGAGCTGTTGCTAGGCAGATTTCAGGGAATCTGCGACCTGGACTAGTCTGGACTTGTCTCAGCCTGGAAAACGGGAGGTGGGCTGGTCGGGACTCGGTTACACCCAGGAAGTTGGCCAGCAGCCAATGAGAAGCCGAGAGGGCTATGACTGACCACAGTTCTCCCTGACCACAGTCATCATTGACTAGTCTTTAAAACAGGGCTCTTGCAGCGGCCATGTTGGAGTTACCTCGTGGTGGTGGGACTGCCGAGGTTTGTAAAGTCTCCCCCTTGGTCTAGGGGACACCTAGCAAGGTCGACCAGGTGAGAACGGGAACCCCCACCTGTTTAAGGTACCCCTGGCAAGGTTGAAAAGGTGAGAACGGGAATCCCTGCCTTTTTAAGGTACCCTAGTGAGGACAATCAGATGAGAAAGGGAACCCCATCTTGATTGAGGTGAGTGTATGATAATCCAGATTATCATTCTTTTGTCAAGGGCTAGTGCTTGAGCTTGATCTTTTCCTCAACCAACACCAAACCTTTAAATTTGGAGGAGCTTATATTCTGTAAGTAAATTTAATTTAACTACACGCATGAATTTATTTTTCAGATATGGGCACGCTACTCACCTCCTTCTTTACACAGTAGTGTGTGACTTCTTTTTTAAGATATTCAGGACCAATAAATAAATAAAATTACTGCCATAAGCT